GCTAGAGCTCAGGGGAAGAGGAGGAGAGACCTATGGAATTCATGAAGGCAGGAGAAGCCACAATGAGAGAAAGAAAGGACCCCTCCAACCATTTCAAGCCTCAGCCTCTTCAAGTCTGGCCCTAGTGAGCACATGGAGCAGGAGCTGGCAAAAGCCCCAGCTGCACCCTTCAGATGAAGTTGCTTGGAGTTAGCACGGGAGAAGCGGGGTTTGGTGGACCTCAGGCCAGAAAGACCATTAACGGGGTTCCTGTGGACCCACGTACGAGCGAGGAGCAACAACAACTGAAAAAAGGAGTCACTCAGAAGCCAATGAGTCATTGCAAGGGACTGGCATGCTCCTGTCCCATGGGAAGTGTTTGGAGTGTGGGTGGTGGGGGAGATGGGCCCATTGGGGGAACATTGGGACACAGCCTGGACAGCTGATCAGCCCCTCAATCAGCACAGGCCCAATCAGTGCAGACTGGTCAGGAATACAGATCTGTAGGGGAAGCGGTTTGCTGAAAAGACTCAGGTCCAGACCAGAGTTTCTACACAACCCAGGTGTACTGCACAAAAAGCCTTCCCCAGGGAATCAACAGCCAAGCAGCAATTTAGCTAAACTACAGGGTTCTAGTGCTGGTCCATGCAGGAAGTTCCCCGATTTTAGAAGTAAGCAAAGGACAACAAATTAGTTCCAGTGCAGAGTTTAATTAATGGAAACAGTGAATAATCCAACAGAGAACTGAAAGAAAAAACAAAATACCCACAGACCAGAGACAAAGTTTGATATTAACTAGTAAAGGTCTCACTTCACCTAAGAACACCTATAAAACCTAGAAGGACAAGAAGCCCCCTTGGCCCCCAAGCCCCCACAAGGGAGGGCCAGGGGCCTCAGCCATGCCCTTCAACACCCACAACCAGCCCAGCGATGACCACCAAGCCACTGCAGGAAGTGCCCCAGGCTCCTGAGCTGGGAGGTGGGGGCCAAGGGTCATGGTCACACCCCCCTGACACCTGCAAGGAGCCCAGTGACTACCACTGAGCCGCTGTAAGAAACACCCTGGGCTCCTAAGCCAGGGCAGTGGGGGCCAAGGGCTTTGGCCACACCCCCCTAACATCTGCATTCAGCCCAACAACAACCAAGCCACCACTGGAAGCCCCTTGGTCTCCCCTCCAGGAATGAGGGGGGTGCCACAGGCCTCAACTACACTCCCCCTCCTTCCTCTTTCTCCCACCCTATTTCCTTCTATGTTCCCCTCTACTCCTTCCACCAAACTGCTCTGCAACAACATCTTAGAATGTAAAAACAGATGGAGCCACGGACTGACCCCTTCTCCTGCAACCAGGCAGGCCGCTACTGCTACAGGGCCCACCCAGGGTCCTGAGGTATGGAGCAGGGGATCAACCCCTCCTCCTGCAACAAGGCATGCCACTGCTGCCATGGGGCCTGCCCAGGGTCCTGAGCCAAGGAGCCAGGGATTGACCCCTCCTCCTGCAACCAGGCAAGGAGCACACCAAAAACACCACTTCCGTGTGGGTGGCCCACCACAGCCACCACAATAGCTACAGCTAACGCAAAAGTGGCTAGACGCCACAACCACCATGCAGATGGCCCATCAGCCATTCAAAGTGCATTGACACAAGGATAGTCACCAGTGGAGACCAAAGAAAAGAAGAGGATGTCTCTCTCCACAAAGCCCATTCCAGATTGATAGAAAAAGCATCTATTCTACGATAACAGTGAGTGACCTAAACACACCTCTCTCAGTACTGGACAGATCATCTAGGCAACAAATCCACAGAGTAACCATCACTCTTTCAGAAGGAGAGAAGAAATCTAGGGTTATCAGAGGTGAGAGTGGGGAGGAAAGGGAGATGGACAGAGATTGGATAAGGGGCATAAAGAATAAGTATGATTTGTAACAATATATATGCTAGTAATATTGATTTGATCAACACAAGTCAACATTGCACCCCCAAAATATGTATAATCAATTATGACCCAATTAAAAACACATTTATAATAAATATATATATATACATACATACACACTATGAATAAAAGCATATGATCGACACTGAGATTAGAAAAAAGCCAGCATCACTGTAGCTCACTTGTAGTTATGTAGTTTTCTGTGATGATTCATTGAAGAAATTCTATTCATTTGGATTGATAGTTTAAAAAAAAAAAATCATTTTGTAAACAACAAAAGGCTGTATTAAAAATTCTGAAGAAAATAGTGATGAAAATAGTTCAGAATGGCTTTTGAATTTTCCCAGCTGGAAACTCATTACTGGGCCTGCACACCAGGACCCAGCTGCTGTTGAGTGTTGGCTGCTAAGGGCTCAGACTGCTGCCTTCTCCAGAAAACTGCCCTCATTCAAAGGGAGCGACTTCACTTGGTACCGTCTGGGAGGCTGTCCTTTCCCTCTGGGGATAGGTGCAGGCCAACAACAGACTGAAAGATACAAAAGCCTGACTCGCTGGCCTCTCTGGAGCCATTCCCGCTGCAGAGCTCTCCATGGGATGAGGTGGAAGCTAGGCTTCAGCCCAACCCACCCCTTTGCCTGGCTTTTCCTCCAGCTCTAGTCTCTTTCCCTTACTCTATTCCAGGTTTTGGCTGAGACTGTTCTTCAATGAATCAGTTGACCAAGAGAGCTCATCACAAGCTCTATATCTACAAAACTCAACCCAAGACAATTATGATTCCATACTATAAGAGCAGTTTAAACTCTGAAGTAATACTAAATGAAAAGAAAATACAATAATCACCACACTACCTACCTTGACCGGATGAAGATTTGTTGTGGTGATAATTTTGTGCAGTGGGCCTGCCAACTTTGGGGGCAGCTTTGGTTCTTTATCTAGTCCCTGGGGTTTAGTGTAATAGTCCAGTCTCTCTCGGGGAAAGAAATTGTTGATTATAGTCACACAATCATGTTGCCCTTTTAATAGAAAAATAGAAAAGTTGTAATTTTATTATTAAAAATAAGACGTCTGGATTTTTAAATTAATTATGTTGCTGTTTTCTTGTGAAGTAAAACATACATCAATATCTGTATTTTTCAGGAAAGGTGAGAAGAAGAGGAAGAGGAGGAGGAGCAGAAGAGGTATTATATTTTACAGAACATTTATAAGCATTTCTTATAAAGTCGAGAATTAATATTTAAAGACACAAAATCTACAAGACATAAGATTATGTGGATGAAAAAAAAGTAGTATTCACCTTTCTCATTTTTGTATAATTGGCTCTAAATGTTTTGTAAAAGTTGCTTGTAATTTAAATGTCTCTTCTTCCCTAATAACATCTTGCTATAGTCACAAAAATTTTAAGTTTGCTCTATATAAAATATTTCTATTGTTATAATTATTGTTAATATCATTAAACTAATTCCCCCTCGTCCCAAATTTGAGAAAAGTTTGGCCTCTCTGTGAAATGAATTAGAGAAAAAGCTTTTGCTCCCTATTCCAAGATAGGCTTGGAATCTACCTTACAGCTTCACATAGGTCTCTCAGCCACTTCTCTAAGCCATCTCTAGTGTTGAAAAGGATTCTATGGAAGCCTTCCCTGGTGAAGCGGGTTGCCTGAAAGTGTGTCCCTGTCACCTCCCCCTCCCAGCTCCCTGTCCACTACCACTCAGGAGCCAGGAAGTGGTCACTCTGGGTGGGTGGGCACAGCCTGCAGGGCAGGATCCCGAGAGGACAGACTTCTTCCTCCTTTCTGCCTGACGAGGGCCAAGGGACCTGTGGCGAAGAGTCATGGCCAGAGCGCCCAGATGCCCTGGCTCCTGCTCCTGGAGAATGGTCTGCCATGGGCAGCCCACAGAGCCCCTGCCCACGTATGCACCATCCTGGGAGTGTCTGCTTAATCCTGCCGACAACAGGTGACCTGCAGGGGGACTGCACTGTCAGCCAGGTGGACGGTGGCACTCAAGGCTGGCAGAGGGCACTGCTTGCCCCTGGGAGTTCCTGGAAGAATGCAGGAGTGAACAATTCCCCCTTGTGCCTCAGCTGGTTTGTTGACCCTAAGCCAGCAGGTAGAGAGACTACAGCACTGCCCTCCAGGGCTTCTTATCCCTACCAGCTTTATCTGACTGCCTAGGAGGTACTGAGCAAAGTGTCCAAGGGGAAGGGACAACTCTGAAGAGTATGCAATGCTTCTTGGGCTGGAAGTGCACTGGCAAGGCTAACCTTAACAACCACTGACCACCACCACAGCTTGTAGATGACAGCACCTAAGTTAAGCAGATTGAATACAGTATGTAAATAGACTTTGAAGAACCGCAGAAAGATTCATATTTTAAAAACAAATAGATAAACTGAAGGAGGGAACCCTGGTTACTACTGAGAACTAAACTAGTAATGTAGAAGATCAAGTAGATGAAGTATCTCAAAACAAAGAAACATTTAGAGCTAGAAATCATTATGGAAGAGATAAGAGAGCTGAAGGACAAATCTAATAATGAAAAATAATAGAAATCTCAGAAGGAAAAAGACAAATGGATGAAGAATTAAACAAATGGCAGAAGAAAACTTCCCTGATTTGAAAAGAGAATTTAGAAGTGATCACAAAATCATTTTTGGTATTCCATGCTATTGTTAAGGATCAAAACACCAGTTTCTTTCACTTTGGGGGGAGGGGAGGGGAATGGAGATGAAGGCAAAAAGGAAAGGTCTGTGGCCTGACAAGGCAAAAAGTGGAGAAATAAATGAGTTATAAGAATTTCACCTTGTTAGGGGTTGCCAAAGAGGCACATATAGCGCCTGGGGATGAGGGATGAGATATAGTTTTGAACAAGTCAATCAAATTAAGGAAACAAGCACACACACACAAAAAGACCAAGTAAAATAAGAAGTAAAAATGAGATTAAAAAGGAAGAAGGTATAGAATGGCTATTGCATCAGTAATCAACAGTTTCTGCCATAATGCCTTTGCTGAGATAATTGATTAAATTACTAGTATCTTAGATCAAATTAATTCAGACAATAGTTTTCTGCCAAAGGGGGTGGTGGTAGGTAAAAAGAAAAATCAATGACAAACCTGCAATGAACATATTGGAAATAGAAGACAGTTGAAATGTTAAAAATACTTGGTGAATATTTTTAGGTGAATTTGGGGTCTGTTACTATAAACACGGGTCACAAACATGATGTAAAAACCTGGGTTGTAAGTATTTCAGACTTTGTGGGACATATGGTCTCTGTCTCATCTGCTAACTGTAACTGTTGTAGCACAAACCCAGCAATAGGCAACATGTAAAGAAATGGACATGGCTCTGTTCCAATAAAACTTTATTACAGAAACATGGTGGGCTGAATTTGGCTGGTAGGCCACAGTTCAACAACCCATGGTATAAGACAGACCAGTTTGTGATAAAACGAAATGGGCAAAAAAAAAAAAAAAAAAGAAAGGAAGGAAGAATGCAATCAAATTATCAGTAATTATATTAAATATGCATAAGCTAATACTTGTTAAGAGAGACACTATCATTTTGGGTTATAAAGCAGAATCCACCTACACGTTTATAAGTAACACTACTAAAATAAAATGATAAAGATTAAAAGTAAAGGGATAAACAAAGAGATTATTGACAAATATAAAAATCAAAAACAAAAAAGGAAAATGGTTATATCAGAAAAAAAGGAACTAAAAGAATTCAACGAGACAAAGAGTAACATTACGCAGAGATAAAATCAGTAGTAACATCTTATTGAAAAGTGAAAAGCTTAAACCACTTTCACTAAAAATAAGAAAAAGACTTGCCTATTATCACTACTACTATTTCCTCTTACTTTGAAGCCTGAAGCTAATTCAAATAGAAAACAAAATGAAACTGAGAAGTTAGAAAACCCAGGAGACTCTTAATAAAGATGGCAAGAAACAAAACACAGAAATCAATAGCTTTTCTCTTTATTACCCATAACCTGCCACAAGTGACGGAGTGTGATTTCTCCCTACAACTTGGCAATAAATACAAGTTACTTGAAAATAAATTTTAAAAGAAATGACTGATACAAAGGAATCTATTAAATGTTATTGAAAAACAGAAAATAAATCCCCTTCTCTAAAAAAGAAAATGTAAAGACATACTATGTGATTGAATGGGAAGCTGTAACATCATACAGATGTTAATCTTCTGCAAATAATCATAAAAGCATTTAATAAAATAAAATTTAACTTACCACAACGGTGGTGTTTCAACTCAGTGAGAAAATTGGGGGGGTTAATAAATGGTATCATCACAGTGAGCTACGTATCTGGGGAAGATGAATTACACAGAGATAAATTCTAGAAGTACAAAAAAAAAAAAAAAAGAAATCATAAAAAAAAAAAATCTGGAAGACATTTTGGAGAATACCTGTATAACCCCAGGTCAAGAAGACCTCTTTTAGCAAGATAAAAAGAACATGGAACCTATAAAGGAAAAACTTTGACTATGTAAAAATAATTTTTTTATGGCAAAAATTCCCATAAAGTTAAAAGTAAAACAAGACTGGTATAAAATATTTGAAACACATTAGGTAGATAAAGGGTTAGCATCCATAATATAATATACATAAACATCTTCAAAGCAAGAAAAGACAATCCAAAAAAATAAATAAATAAATCAAGAATGTAAACAGGCATTCCACAGAAGAGAAAATACATATGATCAACAATAGAAGCTTAACTTTACTAATAAAGAGGGGGAAGTAAAAGCACAATATACCATCTTTTTAACTACCAGATTGGCAAAAAGTGAAAAAAAAATGATAATATCTAGTTCTGATGAAAATGTTAATGTGAATTGCTATGCCTTTTCAGAAAGCAATCTAGACTTACATTCAAACTAAAACTATATACCTTTTGTCTCAGCAATTTACTTCTGGGAATATATCTTACAGATACTAAAGTACTAATATGTAAAAAATAAAATATCAAGGATAATTATTACATTATTTGTGGTGAAGTGGTTCAAAAAAACCTGTAAAATCTGTCAATAAGGCAGAGCTGGATGAACTGTGGAACATCTTTACCCTGGGATTTACGTAGTGGTCAAAATACCTAAACTCATTTATGCCTACTGAGATGGGAGGGACTTCCATGATGTACTGGTGAGTGAAGAAAACAAGTTACAAAGGAATATTTACTGTATGATTGATCACATTTTTAAAAAATGACAAAAATCTTGTATATGTGTGCACACGTGCATACACTGATCCACTTGAAGAAAGCAAAGAGGGGAGAATGAGTTTTTTAAAAGGCTAATTATACGGAAAATAGAATGCTAACTGAAAGGAAACAATGTGCTTTTCTGTCTATGAAATTAGTCTATACAGATGAAAATAAAATGAAAACATTACTCTTATTTTAGAATGGGATTGTGGACAATTTCTACCTTAGATTTTGTTAACATCATAATATTAAGAAAAAGAAAAAAAAAGAGCATTGTATTAGTGGTTGAAAGAACAGGCTCTTCCTCACCAGTGCTATGATCTTAGGAAAGTTACTTAACCTGTCTGAACTCTATTTTGTTACATCGTGGACATAATGAAAACTTATAGAGTTAAATAGAACCTCAGAGCTCATCTAATTCGCTTGCTTAGCTGCACACAGATCAGAAAACTGAGAACCATGCAGGTAAAGGGATTTGCTGTGATCCTGTAACTAATTAGGAGTAGACATGAACTCAAATACAAGTCTCCAGATTCCTATGTTAGGGTACTGTTTCCACTGTACTGACCTTCAAAATTAGCTTAGAGGTGATGGGACCCCTAACTGTGGGAGATAAATATTTCTCTGAAGCTCTCACAGAAAGGCCATAACTTTCTCAAATCCTCATGAAATTAAATTAAAATAAAATGAGAATATTTGTTCTCACAAAGCTATCATAAGCAACTGAGTACCTACCTTAATCAATGGCAGCTACTATGAATAGTTTTAAGAAAATTTAGTAATACAATTTAACACAATATACAGTTACCTTCCGTCGTACCTAATTCCCACTGTACCTCAGCTTAAATAATTTCTCTCAAAACCCCCTTGGAATGGATAGAAGATCCCCCTCTTCTATGTATTTCTATGGAACCCTTAAGTTCCACCTTAGAATATATTTTCACTGTCATTGTATTAGCCTCTAAGTGTCATGAAGGCATGAACAACCTTCGGCTGTTCAGCACTGTAACCAGGGCACCTAGAGTGACACTTGGTAGACAGTTTGTGGACATTAAGTATTTGTTTAATAAATTATTAGTCCCTGCAAGGCCACTTACCACACTACCAATAAATCAAATGTTTTTATCTTTGCTTTTCTATCAATGGACTCTCTAAACTGCCAATTCAATGGGGCTGAAATACCAGTGATCAAGTATTCACTCCCACTCTCTCCTAAACCCTCACATTATGCCAAATAACAGGATTAACATGCTAATAATTATTTGGCACACAAAATAAATATTTATGGTTGGTGAGTATGATAACGAAGCAGCTGCATAATATTATCAACACTCCTTCCTAAGAAAGAATTACATCACAGTAATGATGCAAGCCTATCATCTCTTTTAATTCTAACAATAACCCTGTAACCATTTTAGTGAGGAAACTGAAGGTCAGAATCATTAAGTGCCTCGCTATTAAGTAAAGACAGAATTTCAACTCAGGATTGTTGACTTCATCACAGTTCATATTCTTAAACACTAGGTCAAATCACTGATGTCATAGAAATAAAATATACTCATTCAAAGCATTTGAGTGTAATTAAAATGGCCCCATCACTCCTTATATCTCGCAAAATAGAAATTCAAAATAGCTATTAATTTTCTACAAGAAGTCATTAGGTGTTTCAATAAGTTAGAGTGGCCTTTGATTTTTATTTATATTTATTTTTAATTTTTGTTTGGTGGCTGGCCTTTAAGGAGATCCGAACCCTTGACCTTGGTGTTATCAGCACCACGTTCTAACCAAGTAAGCTAACCAGCCAGCCCTCAACATTTTGTTTCTGAAAACGTGACAGTATTTGCACTTGGAGAAACAAAGTGGTATTTATTTTAAATAAAAGAAATTTGGGGTATAATCTAATTGAAACCTATAGCAAAAACTCACCCACAAAGGCTGCCATCTGAGCTGCTGTTCTTCCCACAGAGTTGACAACATCTGTCTCTGCACCGGCTTCCAATATTGTCCATGTGATGTCTTTATTACCTAGAGTTAAAAGGGAACATACCTGTTAATACTAAAGAGTGCACAATTTAAACCCCCTCTTCTAAACTATCTGTCCCTTTTTTCCCTTACCTTGGGTTTCTGTTGTGTGGATATTTTTGGGTTTTGCCAAAATATGAATTATAACTACAGTAAAGAGTAAAATGCTAAGAACCTACTTAGAAATTAACCTTATTTTCTGGAAAACAAATCTGGCAATACAAAAATGGTAGAGAGTTGAATATCACTTTTTTTTTTTTTGTCCTTTTTTGAGACCGGCCGCATCGTGCTCAACCAGTGAGCGCACCGGCCATCCCTATGTAGGATCCGAACCCGCGGCGGGAGCACTACTGCGCTCCCAGTGCCGCACTGTCCCGAGTGCGCCATGGGCTCGGCCCGAATATCACTTTTTTAAACAGAATAAAGTACATTTTCTAATGATAATGCTTAGTGTAAAACTAAAACAAACATACAAGATATATCAAAAACAAAGACAGAAGAGATAAAATGAATAGAAGTCTCCCCTTTAGTATCTACTAACCCACTCTATCCCTCAAACCTACAGGTTCTGGAATAACTAATAACCATTAAAGATCTTCCCTTCCAGTCTTTTTTCTATCTAAACATGCACAGTTATTCTATTCACATTTTTTCACTAATGGAATCATTATGGATATTTTTTTGTTATAAAATAAGTTCAATGAATAGCATTTTCCATATATTTTACAAGTTTGAAATATGACTTCTTTAGGAACAGTTCCTGGAAAACACTGCTGGGTCAAAGATTGTGCATATTTAAAATGCATTTTGCCAGGTTGTTATCCAGCAAAGTTAGCCTGAATGCACTTTCCAAAATACAGCAAAGAAGTTCCTGGGCATTGTGACTCTTTCTTAACCTTTGCCAACATAACAAGTGAAAAATGACAATTTATTGTTTAATTTGCAATTCTTTGATTATTGCTGAAAATGTTTTATGTTGATTAGCCAGTTGTATTTCTTTTGTTCTCTGTCCAATTTTCTATTGCAATGTCTTTTTCTAATTGATTTATAAGCACTCTTTATATAACCTTTAAGATACATAGTAAATATTTTCTTTAGTTTTTTATTTGTATTTTATCTCTACTTATGGTATATTCTATATATAAAAATGTTTAAATGTTATGTAATTAAACTAGTCAATGCTGTCCTTTTTGGATTCTATATTTTATATAATGCTTAGAAATGCTTTCATGTTCCAGGATTATAGAAACAGATTACTGCTTTTAAAAGTATGAGATTATTATATTACATATGTATTTTCCTAAAGAACTTCAACAATTACAGATAACTACTTAATTTTAGATAATATTTCTCAGTTGTCTTTATTCAGCAAATAATAAGCAACATGAATAGAGTAAGTTTTTAAATGGATTGTCATATTTAGTACATAAATGCCAGTGAGGCAAATAGACAACTCTATCATAGCAGCTATTTGATTAAGAGAACAAATTTTTATATTACTTTAAAAATGTAAAGACATAGAACATCAAAGAGCTAACTTGAAAGAATAATAGATTCAGCTCTTCAATTCTACCAAAATATATTATCAACATAAAGACTCATTAATTTAAATAAGTAAAGAAACAGATCACCAAATTAATTATGTAACTTATTTCATGCATTATATAGCTTTTCAAAAACCAATTCCCACCATTCCTTTCCATAACACTTGACATTAAAATTACTAAAATAAAAATGTATGTAATTCTTTTATATATATATATACTCATAACAAATTTCTATAGATAACTAATATTAACAAATGGAGTAAATGCTAAAACTTCACCAGAAAGTGCAGCAAACATGAGGGTTGTGTATCCATGTTCGTGTTGATGACAGTTTACATCAGCTCCATGTCGCAAAAGTAGTTTGCACATATCAAGCTTTCCTTTATATGCTGCATGCATTAGAGGAGTCATTCCATTCTTTAATAGAAAGAACAAAATGTATTAATTTTACTTATTTACCTTTTCCTCACCTATGAACAATTCCTGTAATTAAATTAAAATCATAAAATAAACATGAATTAATAAAATCATCTTTGTAATCTGTAACATATTTTTATATTCACTTCCTCATTGGGATCTTCTAAACTTCTGACAAAAAGAGTTGGTTTTGTGATTGTAACAGAGGACCCTGAACAATACTAAGGTAGACACAGGCTAAACCCCCTCTGCGTGAGAAACCATTGACCTTCTCATAGAAACGGAACTATATATAACAGACTACCCCCACCCCCGTGTGAGAAACCATTGCACAGAAACAAATCATACACAATGAAAATTTTATACCTGATTGCTTTAACTGCTCACTTTTGGTTTCTGTGACCTAGCTTGCTTTGTGCACCTGAACAAACCCGTGTTCCAAGGGGATGTGGGTTTTGCCTTTATAAACTCCAGCAGACCAAGGCTAGCTGCTGTTCTCCCCAAATACCTAGGGGAGGCAGTTGCCCACTGACTAATAAAGACTCTGTTAAAATTCTTAATTAAGTGTTTGGTTCCTTTCTTGGGTGACAACCTCACAACATTATCTGAGGTTTTTTTACAGATTAGCAAAAAGATTCAGAGAGGACTTGCTTAACCTCATGTGACTAGTAAATGGTTGGAGCAGGGATCAGAACCCAGATTTTCAAGGGTTCTCATCTCTAGCAAATACATTTAACTCCTGGGGAAACAAACAAACAGATACAAATACATTTTTTTAAAAACCCAAAAACAAAAACCTGAAGAAAAACCTAGAAACAAATAGAATGCCTGTCAAGTAGAAAGTTGAATAAAGTATAGTACATCCACACACAAGGGATATTACAAAGCTATTAAATGAATGAATTCATCTGTATCCATTGAATTGAAAACACTTTCATGAATAACTGTCAATGAGAAAAACTATGTGCAGGAAATGTATATTATAGTGGTATTGTTTTTTTAAAACAATGATCCCCCAAATCACAGATATATTTTGATCATATATATGATTTGATCATGCATATGGAGACATGGCTGGTAATATTCATACTTTCAATATGAATATACATATTCAATGTTTGGTCTTCATAAGTTTTGTGCATATCCAATGAAACATTCAACCTCACATGTACTGGGGTCTAATACTATTTGGTGAATAAATGAATGAGTTATTCTTGGAAGTGAATTTTCTTGGTAACTGAGGCTAAATTCTGTAAGTGCTGGAATGTCAATGTTGTTCTGTATAAAAACCTCTCTAAAACATGTAATACCTTACTTTATCAAAGCTTAGAATACCAAGATAATCTGAAGTGTTCTTGATGATTACAGACTCTCATTATGAATATAAGCCATCATATTGTTCGCATAGTATGATACTATTCTTGGAAGGTTGCTGACATGAGAATCAAAGAGGGGCTGGGACCCAGTTACCTACAAGAGGCAACTCAATGGGAATAATCAACTATTCTTGGAAATAAAGAATGAAAAAATTATAAGGAGACTATGACTTTAAGACTCTCTTAGTTGGGTGTTTCTACAGGGATGGAATATTTATATGTTGGAAGGACATGAATCTCATTGTACAGAGGTAGCCAGTGGAGTGCTTTAAAGGGCCAGGAATGAACGACAGGGTCATTAGCTTCTGAATGAGGCACAAATGTATTGAGAGCATGACTAGGGTGACAGCCCCTCAGGGATGATATGGCCTGTACATGAAAGGCTAGTTTGTAGCCTGGGGAAAGGAAGGACACAAGAACTCTCAGAAGGGCCACCACAAAGCAGGAAACAGCTATTTATTTTACAAATTTTTAGGACCCTGACTTCAGCCAGGGAGTTCAGAGTTTTCTGTTCATCCAGAACAGGTGGGTAGCAATCCCTTCCTACAACTAGTGGTTAGCTACCTCTGAGAAAGAACAATCCCGAGACTGCGGAACTGTCCTATAGTTTAAAAAAAAAAAAATGCTTTCAACACAATATCATAATCTGCTTAAGAGCAAAGGAAATGTACAAAGCTTTTGGATCTTACATTGCAAACTGTCCTCATTTTCTTGTCTGTTTGTGTTTAAACTGTCACCTGTGTTAATCACATCTGCTCATTTACCTGTTTGTCCCCCTCTGTTTCCTATTACTCCTTTTCTTTAAATTAAAAGTTTTATGTCTTCTCTTTTTTCTCTCATTCTTTCTTTTTTACCAGCTGTCACCTTAGCAGGAATTGGTTTGTTGAGCTAACCAATGAGAGTCCTTCTTTCCAAAAAGGTAAAGAGCTACTATCCCAATCATATCATCTGCTGTGTAATCTCCGAACCTGCTGTTTTTGTCACACTTACAATGCAGTGCCTATTTTTCCCATATCAAATTTCAGTGCTGTTCTGGGTGATGTTGGGTATTAGAAACCAAACGGTGGTAAATGACAAATTTATACTAGCTTTTCAAGAATTAAATATCACAAATATTTCCTTATTTCTTAGTACAGCTTTGTGTTATAAGAATTTAGAACAATGCAAAGGAAATTATAAGTTTTAAGGGCAATGATTACTATGCAATATCTTGGTTTGGGTACTACCTATTATTATGAAAATATTTCAATGGGCAAAGAAAAAAGGAATTGATATTAATAAATTTTGATGTTCCATAGAGATATAAAGCCACCATACTATACATTTTCTAGTCATTCTAGTATTTTATAGTACTTCAGTATAAATATCAAGAAAGAAATATTTTTTAAAAATATTACTAATCTACAAGTAGAAGAGAATATTCCTATGTTTAAAATAAATTAAGTTCAATTTTAAATGTTATGTTTCAGTTATAAGCATGAAACAACAGTTTCAGACAAAAAAAACTAAAATATCAAATGTCCATCTCTGTTCAAATTAGGAAGGTAGTGATAAGGTTTCATAAACTGTTATCATAGTGTTATACATAATTCATCAATTCTAAGAAGCACGTCATTTTCATATTCAAACATCCCTGAAATTGAGTTTCAGGTTACAAGTACTAGAATTTACAAATCACCATCAGTTTCCACCCCCCTTATTTTTAACATCTCTAAAATCTAGATGAGTCTTTTTATCTGTGGCATCTTAGAGTCAATGAAATGCAAAAGCTGAAATTCTCACCTCTTTGTCATTTCCCAAAGACAACCTTGGAAGAAGTCTGCTTAATTGAATTGGATGAAAAATGAGTTTCTACAGTATTTTAGATACAATGACCTTAAAAATAATTAAAGTTTCTCTCCCACAATTCTTAAATTTACCAATATAGGCTGCTATGTTACAATTCTATTTCATTCAATAGGGCATTCACTCATTCAGCAAATATTTATTGAGTGCCTAATATATATCAAACACAAATCTATACATTGTAGGTATCAATAAACAAATTAAATGCCTTTACAGTCTAAGTCCCTGGCACTTTAATTTTCATAGGGGTGACAAGGCACATGTTGATACAAGCGCTAGAGGAAAATAACAGAGTAAGGAGAGAGGCAGTGTGAGAAGTAAAGAGAAGATGATTTTAAAAAGGACATCCAAAGAGTGTCCCTCTGAGAAGGTGGCATTTGAACAGAGCCATGAAGGGAGTTAGGGAACAAGAGAGGCAACTATCTAGAGGAAGAATGTTCCAGGTAAAGGAAATGCAGTGCTTGACTCTTTAGGAGACAGAAGCATCTGTGCTGTGTTCATGTATGTCCAAGAGGCCGAGCCTGTCTGCAGCCCACTTGCAGAATCTCCAGGAACACTCAAGTAGTCTCCTTGTCTTGATCCTGGTTCTTCTAATGTTTTAACATGAAGTATGATGCCAGTGTTTGTGGAAGGTTTCTGTAAATCTCTTAAGTTACAGAAGAGTCATTCTATCCTAATTTGTTAAGAGTTTTTACCATAAATGGTTGTTAAATTTTATCAAATACATTATAGAATCTGTTGAGATGATCATATTTGTTTCTCTTTTATTCTGTAATGGAATCACATTGAATGGTTTTTCTAAAACTGAACCATCCTAGCATACCTGGAAAAATCTTACTTGGTTATAATATCTTATAATGCTTTGGATATATTGCTGGATCAACTTGCTCACATTTTATTTAATATTGAAAACACAATGATAAAAACTGCAAAATTTCTTCTGAATATTGCTCTGACCACCTAATGCAGCTTTTGATAAATAGCAGCTTTTGGGAAACATTGTATTTTCAGTTTTAGACAGGAAGTAATTTCTATTTCTATTTATTTGCTAACCTAAGAATTATTTAGAGTTAAAAAACCAAATTCCTAGATATATATTTCTTATTTGGACTATATTTTTGTTTATTTTTGAAGGTATCATATTGCATTTGGTGAGCTTTTTTGTATTCAGCTAAAATTTCCTTTATAAAATACATAATACATGGATTAATTTTATCAATGACCCATGCAAAAAAAAGGAGATGTACTATTTTTTTCTGTCGAATATTCAGTCCATAGACTGTTAATTAGGTTATGCACGTTTTCTGTTCTCTGAATTACTTTTCTCCTATTTAATCTGTTGGTTTCTGAAAGGTGCTATTATAGTTTTACACATTTCTCTTTTGGGCACTTTTTTTTTTATGAACCTCAAAGCTTATAAAGCTGATTAGCTTATAAGTGAAAGCTTAAGGCTGGTATGTTCTTGGTGGATTGTTAACTTAATGTATAAGAAAAATTGTTCATATATTAATATTTTTTTGCTTTAAACTTTATTTTGTCTAATATTAATTTTGCTACCTCTGTGTGGGTAAGTGGTTAACAAAGCCTGTTCCCCTTCTGCAAGAGAAACTGAAGTTCAGTTAACTTTCTGGGACTAGAACTGTGCTGTGTAATATAAGAGCCATTAGCCACATGTGACTATTTAAATTCAACATTTAATTAAAATTAAATAAAATTAGAAACTTGTACTTCCAGCCAAGATAAAGTTATAGAAACTAGAGTTAACCTTCTTCCTAGAACAATAACAAAAAGCCAGACAAAATATTTGAAATAATTTGCAAGACACTGTCTGTCAGGCAAAGAAGAACAGTAATCCCACAGAGATGGAAAGCAATTGAATTGAGATCTACCAGTGCCTGTTTACCACGTTAAGAGAATTCCCACTTACAGTATAGGCAGGAGTACATCAGATTGAGCCTGGCAGACTGTCTGTATTGAGGAGATAGGACTGAGCATCCAGGGACAATGCTATGAGTCAGATGTGTCCTCCAAAAGTTCATGTATTAAAACTTGACCACCCATGTTACAGTATTAAGAGGATGGAAAATCCAATTATGGGATTTGAAAATTGGGGCTGTTAAGAGGTGATTAGATTGTGAAGACTGTGCCCTTGTGAATGGATTGATCCATTCACGGAATAATGGACATGGTTCTGATGGCTTTATAAAAAGTGTGAATAAGAAAGTTCTCTCTTGCTCAGTGCACTCCTACCATGTGACACCCTGGTCACCACAAACCCTGTAGAGATCCCACTAAGAAGAAGACCCTCATCAGATGTGTTCCCTGGACCTTGGACTTCCCANACCAAATTCCTAGATATATATTTCTTATTTGGACTATATTTTTGTTTATTTTTGAAGGTATTATATTGCATTTGGTGAGCTTTTTTGTATTCAGCTAAAATTTCCTTTATAAAATACATAATACATGGATTAATTTTATCAATGATACATGCAAAAAAAAGGAGATGTACTATTTTTTTCTGTCGAATATTCAGTCCATAGACTGTTAATTAGGTTATGCACGTTTTCTGTTCTCTGAATTACTTTTCTCCTATTTAATCTGTTGGTTTCTGAAAGGTGCTATTATAGTTTTACACATTTCTCTTTTGGGCACTTTTTTTTTTATGAACCTCAAAGCTTATAAAGCTGATAAGCTTATAAGTGAAAGCTTAAGGCTGGTATGTTCTTGGTGGATTGTTAACTTAATGTATAAGAAAAATTGTTCATATATTAATATTTTTTTGCTTTAAACTTTATTTTGTCTAATATTAATTTTGCTACCTCTGTGTGGGTAAGTGGTTAACAAAGCCTGTTCCCCTTCTGCAAGAGAAACTGAAGTTCAGTTAACTTTCTGGGACTAGAACTGTGCTGTGTAATATAAGAGCCATTAGCCACATGTGACTATTTAAATTCAACATTTAATTAAAATTAAATAAAATTAGAAACTTGTACTTCCAGCCAAGATAAAGTTATAGAAACTAGAGTTAACCTTCTTCCTAGAACAATAACAAAAAGCCAGACAAAATATTTGAAATAATTTGCAAGACACTGTCTGTCAGGCAAAGAAGAACAGTAATCCCACAGAGATGGAAAGCAATTGAATTGAGATCTACCAGTGCCTGTTTACCACGTTAAGAGAATTCCCACTTATAGTATAGGCAGGAGTACATCAGATTGAGCCTGGCAGACTGTCTGTATTGAGGAGATAGGACTGAGCATCCAATGGTTCTGATGGCTTTATAAAAAGTGTGAATAAGAAAGTTCTCTCTTGCTCAGTGCACTCCTACCATGTGACACCCTGGTCACCACAAACCCTGTAGAGATCCCACTAAGAAGAAGACCCTCATCAGATGTGTTCCCTGGACCTTGGACTTCCCAGCCTCCAAACTGTAAGAAATAAATTTCATTTCCTTATAAATGACCCAGTTTCAGGTACTCTGTTATAAGCAACAGAAAAGGACTAATACAGACACTAAGATGGCTCAAGTTTCTAGGTCAAAATAACAGAGAGAAGAGAGTTGCACAGAAAGAGAATTCTATATATCTGAGGAAGGTTCCCCTAGAGGATTCAGCTGAATACTGATAAGCACACACATGTGAGGAAACTATCCAAGTCTGGGATAAAAACTAACTGAGAGCAGTAGGGAAGGAGTGCCCAGTGCTCACACAGGGCAAGGAAGAGTGCCTGTTTTTACCAGCCAGGTTAAAAAACCTCAAGCACCAGGGAGCATTGCATAGAAGAAAGGGAAGTGTCTCGCTTCAGCAATGGGGGAAAAATTCCTTTACTAAGCATTATGCTGCTCCCAACTAGCAAATGGTGAGAACTAGAACTGAGAGAATCAAACTGTCTCCACGTAGCTGTGTTCATTAAAAAAAAAAAAAAAAAAGCTCAGGAATATTTATCAGAATACAAAAGCATACAACACCCAACAAGGTAAAATCCACAATGTCTGGCACCCAATAAAAAATAACCAGACATGCAAAGAAGCAAGAAAATGCAACCATAATGAAGAGATAAATCACTCAAAAGAAGTAAAGGCATATGTTCATACCAAGATTTGTAAATAAATGTTCATAGCAGTTTTGTTTGTAATAGCCCCCAAACTGTAAACAACCCAAAACTCCACTGGCTGTTCAACGGATTAAAAAAAACTATGATACACACATACAATGAAAACTACTCAGCAATATAAAGGAATGACATATGCTACAACATGGATAAATTCCTACCTATGCTAGACAGTAAAAGAAGCTAGACAAAAAAAAAAAAAATACATAATGTATGATTTCATTTATATAAAATTCTTGGAATTGCAAACTAATGTATTGTGACTAAAAGTAAATTAGTGGTTTTCTGCAGGAGATGGGGTGGGAAAGGGCAAGAAGGAGGAATTACAAAGGGGTATGAAGAAACTTTTGAGGTAATGTACATCTTCATTATCTTGAAGGCAGCAATAGTTACACAGGTATATACCTGTGTCAAAACTTAAATTTTACACTTTAAATCTGTACAGTTTATTGTATGTTAATTATATATCAATACAGCTGTTTAAAAAATTAAAGAAAACTAAAAATCCAGTTCCTCAAACTTTCCACATTTGAAGTGTTTAATGGCCACACACAGCTAACAGCTACCATTTTAAACAGATCAGATGTTACCATCATTTCAAAAAGTTATTTTAGATAACTAGAAAGTTGAGTTTAGTTTCAGTTAACTTTCCCTAGAAATGGAAATGTTGGATCAAAGAATATGCACACTTAAAATTAGGACATATTCCAAAATTTTCTACATATTGTTATGCCAATTTAAAAAAAGCCCATGTTTCCCATACAATGAGAAATTATATGCTTTTGGTTTAATTTATATTTATTTGATTGCTAATAAGATTAAACATGTTTCTACATGGTTATTTATCTTTTGTGAACTTGAGCACAAGCGCTAGAAACAACGTTTATTAACAGATTTTATATATTATTCATTCTCACAGGAAGTAAAACACTTTATTAAATTTGTTTTATTTTACCTCATCCAAACAGTTGACATGAACATTCTTGCTAGATAACAGTGTTCCAGCCTCTTGGACAGTACCTTAAAAAAAAAGATGAAAAGTAAGGTTATTGATCTCTAGAACAGAAAAAAATCTAATATCAAGGAGGTAAACTTTAAAAGGTTATCTGTGAAACTAAAACTAGTCAGGTTAGGTTGCTAAGAAATAAAGCACCCAATCACATACTAATTATTTCACAAAGTAATGGTCCAGATAAGTAGATTTATAGAAACTAAAATAGTTCTATCTCATTTTTCCTTTCAATGATCTTAAAGTATATTAATTTGGCCACATTTTCCTTTCATCAGTAATACAATAACCATAAAGCTTAAGACCTAATACTGAAATAAATCTTAAAGGGCATCTAATCCAAATCACCATCTCAATTTTAAATTCCAATCAATGTAACACTTACAATTCAAAATGCTGTGTCTTGGGAATTGATGGATATTTATAATAGAATGCTTGGTTTGAAAATGCATAGATGAAACATATCTTTAAAGCTTGGTACTATATAAAAGTGCCCTGTGATCAGTATTCAGACCACCATGCTGAAAGTAATCTAAAGTCATGTAAACTTGAGGGTTACTCCTCTGTAAATTTCAAAGTAAGCTATAATTGAACCACAACTGTCAGGTTTTTCCAGTTTTCTGTAAGGCATAATGACAGAAGCAAGTTAGTTGCAGGAGACAATGTTGCTATTATCATCATTAATACAAGCTAGCCACATGTCTGCCAAGAAATTTCTGGTTTGGCTGGGAAGAGAACAATGAAATTGAATGTTCTCAAGGAGAAAGGATGAGTTAAGACTCTCTTTTAAAAGAATAGGAGCATCCCCCAACCAGGTTATTTCTTTCCTTTAAATTTAGAATTACGGTGTGAGAATGTGCTATTTACTGTGAGTCTTCCAGAGTTAAAGGTAGAATGCAGAATAAAGATTAGCATGCTTTATTATACATACACGTCAAAAAATAAAATAAAATGAATAAATAAATAATCAGCATGCTTCTTTCTCCCCAATCTGCTTCTCAGGTAAGTCACCTGGGTGCCCCTCACTGACACAGAAGAAACAGAGAAATGTCTCCTAGACAGACAGAGAGAAATAGCTCTGTTGGGAAAATGTCAAATGAATGATCTACATGTCTCTGGAGTATGACAGCAGCTATTTTTGTAACTAGCACATTTTTTCTGAACCTGTCCTCCATCCGAAGGCAATTGGTATCACTGGCTGAATGGTTTTAAAACAAGGGGAAAGCTTTAGAGTATGTAAGCATGCTCTACATGAAACCTTATCCTTACCTTCTCATCAGAGAATTTCTCCAACATCTTTAGAGAAGAATTAAAAAAGAGCAAAAACTCCTGCACCCCTTTTTTCTTTTGAGGAAGGTGATTTAGCTGAATCTCATTCTCCACCAATAACTAACTGAAGTTATTTTGTATCTGGCCAGGAGATGTTTATTTATTAAAGGGAGAATACCATAGGGATTGTGAGCATGTCCAAGCCTGCTGCATTTTAAGAGGAGGATGGGGATTACAATCATAAACATTTGGCTCTCATTAGAGAACAGGCTGATAATTCTTTAAAATGTTTACCCAATGGCCAACAATCTAAGTTAATCTGTTCTGTCGGAGCAACTTCAAAACAAAAAAAGACGAGGCATGCAGGAAAAACCAAACTGTTTTCTCCTACTAATCCCTACTATGGGGATTTTTCCCTACATACCAAAAAATTCTCCAGCAGACACTAAAGCAGTGTCCTAACTTTACCTCAATCCTGACACTATCTACCTGCAGTTGGAATCAGATTCCACAGGTTAAAGGTTAAGTCCCACCAGACTGCTCCCACTGCAGATGCCAGTCGTAAGCCCCAGGTTGTAAGCCCTGTGTTTCTGACCTACCAGTTATAAATCAGGGTTCCATGACCCACTCCTCAAGTTTGATAATTTTCTGGGACAGCTTATAGAACTTTACTTACATTTACCTATCAATTGTAAGGTATATTACAAAGCATACTGATGAACAGCCAGATGGAAGAGATGCATAGGGCAAGGTATAGAGGGTGCAGAGCTTCCATGCCCTCTCTGGGCCCTCCACCCTCCAGGAACTTCTACCTGTTCAGCAATCTGGGAGCTCTCTGAACCCTGTAGCTCAGAAATATTTATGGAGGCTTCATCACATGGGCGTGATCAATTATTAACTCAATCTTCCAGCCCCTCTCCTCTGTCTGGAGAATGGGGGGTGGAGAGGGGAGTGGAGCTGAAAGTGTCAAGCTTCTAGTCTTGGCTTTGTCTTTCTGGTGATTACAACAAAAGACACACTTAGCACCAGTATTGCTCAGGAGATTAACCATGTGTTTTAGGAGCTGACACAGAGGTTAATGTCATGGTTAATCTCCTGAGCAATAGTGGTGCTAGGTGTATCCACTATATCACACGTGCACACACAAATGCACACTCATGCCACTCAATGGGTTAAGGTTAGCTGTAGTAGACTGAATTATGTCCTGCCAAAACTCCCTGAAGCTTGAATAGTGCCCCCTAAGTTTTACATACACAAATGCACACTCATGCCACTCAATGGGTTAAGGTTAGCTGTAGTAGACTGAATTATGTCCCGCCAAAACTCCCTGAAGCTTGAATAGTGCCCCCTAAGTTTTACATATTAGAAACTTAGCCCCCACTGTGACTGTTAAAGAGTGTCGGAAATCCTATTACGGTAATTGAAAAATGGAGCCTTAAAGAGGTGATTGGATTATAGGACCGTACAGTAGTGAATGGATTAAAAATGGTGGTCAGGGACGTGGTTCTGAGGGCTTTCAAAGAGGAGAGTCTGTCTTTTAGTGAATGGATTAAAAATGGTGGTCAGGGACGTGGTTCTGAGGGCTTTCAAAGAGGAGAGTAGTCTGTCTTTCTCTCTCTCTGAGGAGAGTCTGTCTTTCTCTCTCTGCTTCTACCATATTGCGATGTGAGACCTCTGGGTCACTATCACCACCCCAGATGGACTTTGGACTTTGGACTTCTCAGTCTCATAAACTGTAAGCAAATAAACTGCATTTTCTTTATAAATCACCCAGTTCCATTTATTCTGTTATAGCAACACAATACGGACTAATATATTAGCCTTTCAAAATGCAGAAGCCAGAATGAGAAAAATTATCTGACAGAGTTTGGCCTTGTAGAGAACGAAAACAGATTTGGGAAAATAGATGAGCAAAATACCCTAAGAGGAAAAACTTATGATGTTTGGTGTTCCTAATTCAATGACATTAGTAGGACACTACATAAAATAATTCCTAGCTCATCAAGATTAAATGCATGAACACATGTAAAGTGCTTAGAATTATGCCTGGCTCGTAATAACATACGGTAAATGTTGGCTATAGTTATTTTCTTATATTTCCCATTACTTTTCTTTGAGAGTGCCATGATGTCCCACAGACATTGACAAGAATGCATCACCTCCTAAGTCCATCTCAGTGCTTTTCCATGGGCCTGGGCCAATTAAAGTGACAAAACACGGAGTCTGTACACTCATGCAACTTGATGCACGATGTGGGCCCAGAAATATAACAGCACTAACCAGAATAAATGCACGTTAATCGCATTATGTAATCTTCAGAACAAAAACTGGTGAGCATCTGAGAATACATATATAATCTCCAAGAACTCCCCTCTCCCCTTTCAGTGCCCCAATTTATAAAACTCCTCCCTGGTTTTCGCTTTAAAGAGAAATGTGTTAACTCTGGCCTGATCAAAATCAGAATTTTCATCCCTGGTGGATTCCGAGTCATCCTTTGTCTAGTTTTTACACAGCACAGTAAGTGGCACGCACACAGCTGGGACTCACATGTGTGCTAAATTGAATCTCAGAGTCACCAAAGGCAGGGAGAAATTACCCGGAGACAGGTAGACAGAAAGACTGCAGTGGCAAATAGGGCAGCAAGAACCATGCAGTACAAACAATTAAAACAACCCAAAGCCCCACGATCTCAGGCAAAGAACACTTATCATAATAAATATAGCTGTGACTAACGTAGAATTGTTGAGATCAGATGGGGTGGGCTCAGCTCACCAGTACCTGTTGAGTTCAAGCCCGAATTCTTTTCTCCTTTACATTCAGATTCTACCTGTCGTTATGAAGAATAAATTTGCCTTATTCTAGGAAATTCCGGGTTTGATCCTGGCTACTTAGACAGAAAGAAGGCTGGAAACTGGGAAGCCTTAGGCTGCAATGACTGGCGCCTCTGCCATTCGAGGGTAGACGTGGCTATCCAATTCTCGAGCTTAGAACCACCACAGTAATTGTGCTCGCAGTCCCACGCATCTCCATCCCCGCGCCGTGACGGTGCAGAAGCATGCAGTCACGCTGTCACCTGCCAGGTAACGGGACTCGGCAGGGGACTCCTCCGGGACGTCCAATCGGGGCCTGCGGGGAAAACATGGCTTCTGGCTCGTCCCCGGGGCTCCCTCCCTACGATCCCGCGCAGCGGAAGTGGGACATACTGGAAGAGTGGAAGGGAAAGCGCGGAGGAGCGCGATCACAACACTGCTGCGGTGCAACGTGGGACGAGAGTGGGTGCACACGCCTTGCCAATTCTCTCGCCTCTCTGCGGGTTCCTGCAGCGGCCAGGGGCTTCTGGAAGGAAGCCAGAGAAACCCTGGGTGTGGAAGCCTCAAAGCGGCAAATTACAGCCCTAGCTCTGTGCCCTTTGCAAGAATCCCTCATGCTAAGAGCTCCCTCCACCGCCAAGCAGACGCGGGGACCAGCAAGGGATCCAGATCTTTCGGCCTCCGGAAGTCGAAAGGGCCCTTTAGACACCCGCCTAAGAACCTGAAACTACCAGGCCACTGTCGCCAAGACGGACCATGGTCAAAATCACCTGAGGAGTTTTGAAGACTGCACACAGCGGGACCCACACCCTGGGTCCGCTCATTACAATGTGAGATGGGGAGTGGAAATGTGCGCGTTTCCAAGAGCTGACTTAGAGGACAAGCCTCAGTAACCTCCGCTCTGGTCCCGGCAGTGCTTCTCCTTCCCCACCTCCCCGCCCCCGCAACCCGTCCCAGACCAAAAGGAGAAACGCTTTTGCACTGTCCGAGGCTGCCAACCTCGCAGAACCGCAACCAAAGGTCAGCCAGGCCAGGGTTGCCCCCCGGGCTCCGCCACGCCCCTCGGCAGGCTGGCGGCGCCTCCGTCGTAGCCCAGCACCCATACCTTTCCCGATGACTTCCAGGAGCTCCTTCTCCTCCTGGGTCAGCTCGCCTTTTTTTATGTGAACCATTGCTTGCGCCAGCTTGAATGTTATTGTTTCTTTGGAAGTATTTAAAAAGCAACGATGTGTCCGTATTAGGAATGTCAGCTGCAATGAGGCAGCTGGAGACCAGGACACAGAGTAGCCAACCGCGGAAGCAAGCGCTCGACTTCTCTCCTCCCTCCTGCAGGCTGGCTGGCAGGCAGCTGGCGAGCTCGGGCGAGCGGGGCCCGCGGCCTCGGCAGGCTCAGCTGCAGCCCCCGCCCCCCGCGCTTCATTGGCCCGGCCGAGAGGAGGAGCTGCAGAAGGCGGAAGCGAGAGACTCCAATTGGAGCAGCCTGGGGGGGGAAAACCAAATATAGAAAACTGGAGGGGTAAATTAAGTTCCTCTTACACGTTTCCCACCCCATCCTGTCCTGTTCAGATATCTGGGGACACGCACTATTTACAGTTCTCTATCTTGCAGTTCTGTGTCCGGCAATAACTTCTTGCTGCATGGAGAGGCCCCCGGGCTCTCCCTTCTCCCCCCACCATGTCCCCGAGAGTGGCGCACTCCGGACGGGGGGGCGGGCTGGGAGGCGGGGGCGGTGCGGGAGGCGGGGCTGTGCCAGGTTCGGTGTGTCTATGTCAATGTGTCTGTCCTTCACTCCTCCATTGTCTGCCGCCTCCGCTGCTGCCGCTGCCGCTGCCGCCGCAGGAATCGCCGCAGCCCCCAGCCTTGCGCGTCGTCGCTACCTCCTCGGACAGGTGAGAAGCAGCCTAGGTGGGGCAGGGGGAGTCGGGAGGTCTGCGCGAGCCGCTACCGCCGCCCCGCCGGGGACTTGCACCCGCGCGGGAGCTGGAAGAGAGGAAGCATGTGCCTGCTGGGGCGGCTTCTTGCCTCTCGGCGGAGAAGCCCTCGCTGCACCCCATCATCCCTACATATAGTGTATCAGTGCCCCGGGACGAAGACCCCCGACGGGCCACGTTTGGCCGCCCGGGGAGACCAGGACCGCGAGCGGGCGGGGCCGGCCATGCGGTGGGAAGTGGCGGCTGCACATGGTCTCGTGCGTGGCACCGCCAGATGCGGCTCCCAGGGGCTGGGGCTTTGGGCTGGGGCTGGGGAGGAGAACTCCCCGTTACGAGCGAGGTGAGCGCATGATGAGAACGGACTCTGAAGAAGATAGTTTTCTTTTAGCAAGCCTCGCCCTCCTCACTACTTGTCAAATCCTCTCTAGCCCCTGTAGAGGCTGTAGAAGAAAACCGGACCTGATCGCCCTGTGGTGCCCGTTAAGGATATTTGGAAGCAATTTACACTTGCACTAATACTTCGTTTATGAGAAACAGCCTGGCGGAGGGGGAGGGAAGGGCCTCTCTGCCAGAGTTCCCAGTCTCTTTGTAACTCAGATCTTGAGATTTATGGAAACAGGCAGAGGAGGGTGGAGAGGGCGGAGATTAAATTGGTGTTGCAGTCTATATATAGCCTTAGATTAGCTTCTTAATCCAATCTTCATTCAACTGTATTATGTAGCCTTGAGCTTCAACCATAGGTAGAAAGGGGGTAAATTCAAGCGTGTACCCTCCTGTGGATCAGAAACAAGACTTGCTTGCTAAAATTTAAGTCAGTCATTCCTCCAGGGTGCACATATTTACAGCATCAATGAATGTTTCTTTAGAAATTAGTGTTTACGTTTCACTGTTGTTTCTCTACAGACTAGTATTGATGCTTCTCTCAAGACCCATCTGTGTCAAGGAAAATATTTGAATAATTATGTAGATGGTTTTTGTTAAGCGTCCCTAGAATCACTCTTTCTTCCCACAGTGCCATATATAAAGTGAAATGCGTTTTCCTCTGGTCTTATGCCTTCATTTTGCTTGAAGCATTCGCTAACACTTCTGAAGTCCAGGGAAGATGTTCATCATTATTTCCTGTCTTGAACAAAAATCTTCCCTAAACTCCAGCTGTTGTTCTCCGCCACCTACCCCAACCCCCCGCTCCAAGCTTCAGCTTTAGAGGCTGGGGCAGATCTTAGCCGGAAGAACATCTCACATGAATATGGTTTGGAATTATTCATCTCAATGTATAACAAAGAAACTTTTGTTTGATGATGCTTTAATAATGATGTTGCTGTTCAGACAAAGTAGAAAGGCTTTTGAGACTGACCAATCTTTTGTAACACTTAGAATGCTGTTACTGCCACAGTTACAATTCCTTATAACGTGGTATCCTGCAGAAAGAACCCATAAACCTAAGTAACCTCTCAGAACATGTGTCTTAACGTCTTACCAGCGGATGCACAGACAAAAGTGGGTATTTCATTGCAACTATTTCCATCTCTTGTGCCAGATCTGGGCCATGGTTACTTGAAGGTCACACCTGCTTGTCTCACAGGGGTTGGCAGTTTCTCGAGGATAGCAACTTATTATCTATTTTCTTGGTGCTTTTATGACACCTGGTTGGTGTTTAGTCCTCTGAATACATGACTTCGGTAAATTTAGAGCCAATGACATTTAAAGACAAAGAAAAACTAACATTTACCTAGAGATGCACATAAATCACATGTCCAGTTTAAATTTCTAGAAACAGATGCATAATGGAAAGTGTTTGTCAGATGGATTACATTTATAGTTTTATAGAGGGTAAATATTTAAAGTAGTAATAATATTAGATAATGATCATATTAAAATGTGTTCTCATCAAAGAAGTTATATGGATAATAAAATAACTAATACATATTAAGTGTTTAGTCTGTTAACAGATATTCTACCAGATGCTTTGCATCAGATAATTTTAATCATTGTTATAACAATCCAGGAATTAGCTATTATTATGCTCATTTCTGTAAGTAAGAGGACAGAAACCGAGGGAAGTTAATTTATTTGCACAGATCCCACAGTTAGGAAGTGTCTGATCCAGAACTGGAGTTATAACAATCCAGGAATTAGCTATTATTATGCTCATTTCTGTAAGTAAGAGGACAGAAACCAAGGGAAGTTAATTTATTTGCACAGATCCCACAGTTAGGAAGTGTCTGATCCAGAACTGGAACCTAGATTTGTTGATATGTCCCTAAAACCTTTTCTCTTTTCACTATTCTCTGCCTATTATTACTGCCTGGCAGTAAGAGGGAAATTATATGTTCTTTTGACTAGCTAGTAGATATTACATCCATGTGGTTTAGCATGCCAAAGGTGCATATGTCTCCCTCCCTGGTCCCTTCTCCATGCCCCACAACTGGTGGTATCTATTTTTTTCATATCCTTCCTGAGAGAGCGTATGTGTTTATAGCTTGTATGTGTGCATGTATTTCCACTATTTATTTTTTTTACAGAAATGGGAGCACACTAATACTGTTGTGTAATAGAATTTATATGATGCTCTTTTCTGTTTCTTTCTTCACCTTTTAAAAAATAATAATTTCCGAAATGTCTGAAGTGTTCTTATATGTGTCTTCCTGTCTTTTTTTCTTTTTTCTTTTTTTTTTTTT